TGGACATTACACAATCATCGGCGAACATCCCCACTTCTGACATTATGACGGAGGGAAGGTCATTGATGAATCAGCTGAAGATAGTTGGGCCGAGGATACAACCCTGAGGAACTCCTGCAGAGATGTCCTGGAGCTGAGATGATTGACCTCCCACAACCACGACCGTCATCCTATGTATCAGGTATGATTCCACCACTGGACAGTTTGCCCCCTGATACCCATTGATTCCAGTTTTGCTCGGGCTACTTGATGCCACACTTGGTTGAATGCAGTCTTGATATCAAGGGCTGTCACTCTTGCCTCACCTTTGAAATTCAGCTCTTTTTTCCATGTTTGAACCATGGCTGTAATGGGCTTCTGAGGTTCTGAGTGGCCCTGGCGGAACCCAAACTGGGCGCCACTGAGCAGGTGCTGCTTGATAGCACTGTTGATGATACTTCCATCACTTTACTGATGATTGAGACTAGACTGATGGGGTGGTAACTGGCCGGGTTGGATTTGTCCCGCTTTTTGTGTACAGGACATACCTGGGCAATTTTCCACATTGCCGGGTAGGTACCAGTGTTGTAACTGTACTGGAACAGATTGGCTAGGGGAGTGGCAAGTTCTGGAGCACAAGTCTTCAGTACTATTATCAGAATGTTGTCAGGGCTTGTAGCCTTTGCAGTACCCAGTGTCTCCAACCGTTTCTTGATATCATGTGGAGTGAATCGAATTGGTTAAAGATATGGTCTCATACCTTGATACTGTACAGCCACAATAGAAGTTCACTAGAACCATAAACAGAACACAAAGTAGATGGAGGTTAAACTAGAACAGGGAATACTCTACTGTACGTCCTCTCAGCTCCACAGTCGGTTTTAGACTGCATCTCCTAGCTCTTGCTCCAGGTCACCTGACCCAATTTCTTAAAAAGGCAACATACACCCAACTACATATATAACACCCTACTTCTATTTTCCAGTCACCTAGAAATACAAATGTTACCATATATTACATGTGTCACGACAGAAAACTCTGTATCACTGAGCTCTGCAAACTCTCATTCTGCCTAGCCTAATCATTATGCAAAATCATGTGCAACTTACTAACAATTTTCAGTAAACAATAGCCTCAAAGGATGAATTACCATGATCAGCTGCCTCCGATTTCTCTTCCATTGTCAGAACGATATAACAACTATTAATAATGAAAGTATTTGTGAATCTGGCATGAAACAAACTAGAATGCTCCACCATACAATATTTTTGATATTCCCCGATGGACATGCTTTTGGACAACCAGACACTGTAATAGATGGTAACCAGAACATGAGTGCTGTTGTGATGCCATTTGAAGTTCCAGCTGGCCAGTTAGATTTGATAATGGCACGGCTGAAAGCAACTAATTCTTGTGGCTCAGTGGTACTATCCATACCTCTATACATGTAAAAATACCCATGATCGCTTGTTTATTGCAATAACCACTTAACCACTGGACCAGAAGGTCTGGATTCAAGTCTCATCGGACCTAGATATATTATAACATGGCATGAGTAATTACTGGATCTGTTAACTAGACAGCTTTATTTGCATTAGAAAAAAAAACCTCAAAATAAAATCTCCTCATTTGAACAGGTAGGATCTATTGAAAACAAGATATTTGCAAATAGAAATAAGGTAACTTGTTGAAGTATAATTCATTTGACAAATCAATGATTGAAAGCCAGTTTCAGAAATGGTGCCACGAAACTTATCAATTGCTGTAAAAATCAATTTGGTTCACTAGTGTCTTTTAGAGGAGGAAATCTCCCACCCTTAGCTTGTCTGGCCTACATATGACTCCAGACCTACAGCAACACGGTTGTCTCTTAACTGCCCTCTACACTGACCAAGCAGCACACTGTGTACAAGGGAAAATAGGGACAGGCAACAAATCCTGGCTTTGTCAGGGACACTCAGCCTGCTTTCACCACCTGCCTGGCATTCCATGCACCTACCACCTTTTGTGTAAAAAAAACTTTCCTTAGACATCTCCACATCTCCTTTGAACTTAGCTCCCTCTCACCTTAAACCTATGCCCCCCACCCCGGGCTCCAGTATTTGACATTTCCACCCTAGGAAAAAGACTTCAACTATCCACCCTATCCATGCTCCTCATAATTTTATATGACTATTGCAATTAATTGCTGGGTAATTATCCCTAATATTTTGGTATTTATCCCTTAATGGACATCATAATAGCAAATTGTCCAATATCATGTTACTATTTTAGGAGTTACAGACCATGTGCAGGCAGATAGGATTAGTTTAGAGCGGCATCATGATCAGCACAAACATGGTGGGCAGGAGGGCTTGTTCCTGTGCTGTACTGTTCTATGTTCGATAATAAAGTAAAATCAATAAAGGGTAAATGTCCAGATTCTCATTTCCAGGTCATATGCACAGAGGCAGAAAAAATTTAATACTGGCTGTTCATACTTCTAATTCTCATTCTGAGTATATTGACTGCAACGAAATTTAGCTGAGTGACCTCAGAAGAGCCTAGGAGGCTGTCAGTTTCAAAACTTGGCTGGGCGGAATGACTGCTTTGAGGCTCTAGTATTGTAGCCACAGACTAAAACAAAATAAATTATTCCTCCAGCCCTCACCTTCACATACTCATGCCCAATGCAGGCCACCAAATGCACACTAACGATTTCCCATGTCATTCAACATGCCTCTCTACCTATCACCCATGGCTCCAATATCCAATTTCTGACCATAGTGTCTTATTCCACCCATCATCCTTTCCCAATTCACCCACCATGCCAACTTAACTAGTGTCCACAAATAACAATGCGCACAGAGGAAAAAAGAAAGTTCTAAGTGCACTCATTCATAAGGCCTTTACTTGTTGACAGGTCTGGACAAAATAGACAGTTCCAAGGCATTTATATACCTTTTACGCATAATCTTCTCCATAGTTAATAATCCCAAAAGGCACCTGATACCACCCATAAAGAATCCCTGAATGCCCCCAAATCCCCAACAAAAAAGGATCCCTGAACTGCCTCATAAAGGATCTGGGATCACCCTCAGCCCCAAAGGGATCCCTACCCTCCAGCCTCCCAGATGTCCAGGAACCATACTCAGATCCTTCTAAAGGCAATCCAAAACAAACAAACTGAGAACAAACCTGTTCTTACCTGGTCTAATCTCCATATTCTGGATTCCAGATGCCCCAGGAAATCCATAATACAATTTGAGTGGAGGCAGGTGATCATTATAAGTCCACTCTCCATGAAATGTGCTGCACACACTACAATAGATTGCTATACTATCCCTACAGAAACGATAAATGCAGGATTTGGTGCAGGACTTAGGATTTTACATTATTTCTGCAGTGACGGAGAGGATGTCAGTCACAATTAAAATCTGGGCCTAGGTATTAGGAAGATGTCAAAAACAGGTTCACGATGTAGTTTATTGAAACTAACGAAGAAACAAAAAAAAAAACACTCAATTTTAGGGATTTATCATATACGTTGTTTGAGCATTCCTATCATGGTGAAATTACTGGAATGTATTATTACTGAACTCTTGATAATGCACTTCGAAAATCATAACATGATTAGAACAAGTCAACTTTGTTTTACAAAAACGCAATCCTATCTGACAAATTTATTAGGGTTTATTCAGGATGAAATTCTGTGTAGGGTTACGAAAATTCATATACAGTATATTTGAATTTCCAGAAGGCATTCAATAAGTTGTCAGATAAAAGATCATTGTACAAGATGGCATTGGGCATGATATTAGCTAGTACGGATAGAAAATTAGTTAAAAGAAAGAAAGGAAGGCAACAGTAAGCATAAATGTGGCATTTCTAAGTTAGCAGATTGTGACTAGTGGAGTGCTACAAGGATCAGTGCTCAGATACTTACAATCTATAATAATGACTTAAGATGAAAAGCTTGCTGATGATATAAAGCTAAGTGGGAATGTAAACCTAGGAGTACACAAAGAGGCTACAAAAATCAGGTTAAGCGTGTGGGAAACAAGGTGAAAAATGTAAGGTTACTAACCTTGTCACAATTATAAAAACAGAAAAGGACAAGATGTTTTAAAAGACATGGAACTTGTAAGTGTTGATAGTCAGAGAAGCTGGTGTGTACTCGAAAAAGGAACACAAAAATTATTATACAGATACAGCAAGTAATTAGGAAAGCAAATGTCATTTTTTGCTTTAATTGCATAGTGTTTGGAGTACAACAATAAAGTAGTCTTGTTGAATTGTAAAGGGCTGTGTTGAGACGACACCTGTGATACTATGTGGAATTTTGGTCTCCATTTTCAAGGAAGGAGATACATGCATTGAAGGCAGTACATAAAAGGTTGACTATAATGGTCCACAGGCTGAAAACGATTATGTAAAGACGAGAGCTGAGTAAATTGGGTCCACATTCTCATTACGAAGGTGCCTAACAGGGTAGATACCAAGATGTTGCTTCTCCTGGTTAATAAATACAGACCAAAAGAGAGTAATTTTAGGATAAGGGACTGATCATTCAGACTGATGTGAGAAGAATTTTATTCATTCAAATGGCTGTGAAGCCTTGGATTGCACTGCCCCAGGGAGTTTTGGGTGTGTCATCGATATATTTTTAGAACAGATAAATAGATTTTTGGTCTCACACGGAATCAAGGAATGTAGGTAGCCTGCAGGAAAGTGGAGTTGAGGCCTAAGACCATCCATGATCATACTTGGATAATGCAGACAGCTCCCCAGCTGTGTGGATCTCCTACTTTTTTTTTTATGCTATATTCTTCTGAATTCCTGAAGTACACGGCGCCTTTTCAATCAAATAATGTAGATTTCTACCTAGCAATAAGTACCCTGGCACTTAGAAACATTTCTTTCTGTATTCATAACTGAATGATAGCATATTTCCCTTAGTCCATTGAGCACAGCCAGCACAAATTGTGTACATTTGATTACATAAATTCAAAACTGATTCAAAATAATAATTTAGCACTTACCGTCCTCATCGTCCTCAGATGGAGAACCCTGGGGCTGTAGGTGAGCTAGTCTGGGGTCTGACTCATTTGGTTTGTGCCATTGAGGCCGGCTAAGCGGCCTGACCTGTGAGTGACTGATTGTATGTGCAGTTGGACTTTGAACAGTTGACAGTCCATGGGGATCACATGGCCTTGCCACAAACTGTGACCTTTGTAGTGCTACATTATAATCTGGAGGCTTCATGCCTGGATGTCGATGAGATTCTTGGAAGTCTGCAATGGGAATTCCAACATACCCTGGAGGAGTTGGTGGTGGTTCTCGATATCTGCCCTCTTTACGTGCTGTAGTAACAATACACTACCATTAGAGATGGTTAATTATTAATGCAGCATACAATTAAGTCAAGAACTGGAGTCAAATTTATGGAAAACAGCAAAACAAGATGCTGGGCTGAAAGAAATTATGCGCATTTTAAATTTTAAAAAGGATGCAATCTAGGAGTACAGCATAAAGAGTCTTTTGAGAAAGGATTATTGTAATTGAGGGCAGAAAAATAAAAATGGTAGTCAGATGGAGTGTGCAAGCATTATCAATATTATTATATTTATTAAATAGCAACCAATGTTTCAAAGTTGGATTATTTCTAAAGTTTAACTGCATAAACAAGTCCTTGGATTCTGGCACAGCTTTGTTCAGGAATCTTATTAAATGTACATGACAAACTTACTAGTAAAATAAAGTTACTGTGTTGATCTAATTTCTGGGACTGATTTTGTTTCACAGAGTTGATTATTGACCTTCCAAAATAAAAAAAAAGCAGTAAGTAGTAGGTGGATCATTGAATTTAAATAATGTTGAACTAACCTGCCATTAAAAATATCAGAAGTTTGTACTTGTATACCAATCATCTAGTATTTGAAGACAATTTTATTAATATGTCTTGCAGTATAGAATCCTAATTAGTGGTCTGGTATATTGTAGAGTGGAGTGGAAGGATATTAGGATGTTTTTCTTGCCATATGATTCAGTGCACATCATTTCTGAGTTCAGAAAGGAACGGTTGACAGCTTTGGGGTTGGGAACAGAGGCCACCTTTTGGGAGTCATTTATTGCACTGGAAGTGAACAGGCAAAAGCATACTTTATACAGAAGATCTACAGTAAATTAAAGTTCTATTTGATTTACGTTAAGGCACTGGTCTTCCTGGCAACTTTTATCAACATTTCATTTCTATGTGCATAAAAGACCACTCAATCAATAATGTTAACTATTAACTAGATTAGTAGTGATGTTTAAATTTGGATAATTTGCACTAATAAAATATGTACAACAAGATTTACAGAGACTTCTTCCAGCCAATTCCTGCACCATTTGTAGCAATTGATATTTTGAATATGTTAAACTTTTTTTTTAAAAAGACTCATTTCTCTTCATAACTGGACACAGGCTAAAGCTTCCAGGGGCACAGAAAATGAATTGCTATCCAGGGGTTCTTTCTTTTATAGACTAGCATCAAATGACACCATAGAGAAATGTAAAATGCGTGCTGCAAGGTTAGAAAATTGGAGGAGTATATTTAAATACACGAGTACCACCTTCACACTGTTAGGCTAAAATTTAAAACAATTTTTTTTTGGCTTGAATCCATCTAGCATGGCTTTCCAATGAAAAAAACTGAGATCCCCTTCCCCTGGTAAGACCGTGAACATGGAGAGAACAAAATTGAGAAAATTCACATGCTCTTTTCTTGCATACTTCCTGGAAGCCAGATCAACAGCAATAATGGAGCTGGGACTAAACTGGTAAATACTGGTTCATCGGGATGGGAAACCTGAAACCAAGTTTTCTTTTCAAGTAAAAGAATATCACATTGCAATTAATAACACCTATTGGAAAATAACAATCTCAACAGCTGATGCTTTCTTTCAAATCTGATGGAAAGAGAACATAAATACTAACACAGATCAGCTACGTCAAATGTCTTATTTCTGTTATTTATTCTGTGTAACACTTACCAGTGAGACCTTTTGCTGTTGATGAAGACACTGCTATGTGAGAAGGTCTAACATTCTGCTTTGGATCATCTGTAGCTACTGCTGTACCGCTTCCTTCAGAGTCAACAGCTACGTCCTTTCCACCTCTCCGTTTTATTGTTCCAGTGTCACCTTCAGAATCCTCTGCCCAATAGCCTGTTGTTGATGCCCAGCTATTTCTGGACTGAGCATGATCAACGCCATCTCTAGGCTGGTTCTGCCTAGTCAATTTTGTGCCATGTTCAGAGAATTTGGTCCGATCTGTTTGGCTACCTGAAGCCCACATAGTTGATAGTCCTGTTCCCTCAGCAGAGCTCTCATAATGAAGATTTCCCAAACTGCTGAGCGTCTCCCAACTTTTCTGGTGCTGAATTGTCTGGATGTTATCGTGAGATCCGCTTGAACATGAAGTCCAACTTCCTCGACCACTGTCTGCTGCATCAAGAGAAGTTCGGTCTCCCTGGTCCTGGGTTAACTCCTCCATACTCGGTGATGACAGCACCGCTTCTCCTGCATATAGACTTCCTCTGCCCTCAGTGCATGTTGGAGTGTAATTACTATACAAGAGAAAGTATTGATTTAAATGTTGGCAGAGAAAGGCCCACACTTTGTGGTCAACAGGAAAGCGACATCATTTGCCACTGACCATGTGGAAAGTTGTCTACAAAGGCCTAGCTATTTTTATGGAAGAAATTTGATCTTTCATGACATTAATTTAGTTCTGGTGCTACTGTAAGGATCTCCAGCATCCAGTAAAAGAAATAACTGACCTGAGTAATCAGCCAATCACATTGGAGAATTGTCACAGGCTGTGAGCGAGGAATTTAGAAGTGCCAATTTTCCTTTACACTTTAGTCATTTTATAGGAAGCAAAATAAAGCTTGCAGCATATGCATGGACTAAGGTAGAAGTATCATAAATATATTTCAAAATGAATTATTCCATCTGAATTATATTTTTTTAGTGGAAAATATTGAAGCTCCACATTTATGAAATTAATTTTTCAGAACCAGAGAAACTGCCCACTGGTAATTATGACTGAGCATATTGTTAAAGACCCAATTACACTTCATTCAATAAGATGCAACTTTCTTAAGGACTTTTCAGATTGAGTTTCTCCAGCACTTTCCGTTTTACTTCAGATTTCCATCATTCACAATATTTTGCTTTTATCAAACTTTATAGTGTTCGTTAATGGAAAGAAGTGATTACATAGCTTCTGATTGAACTTCAAAACTTAAATTACTCTAGCAGCATCAGCATCAAGAATGGGGGGATATATTCAGATTGTAATTCCAAAATTATAGGCCTCCATATCCAACTCAAACAAACACAGGATTCAGAAGCAGGAACAGGCCATTCCCTTGTTGAGACTTTTCTGCAACTGAAGAATATCATAGCTGATCTGATTTCAATGTCACTTTTCTGTCTGCCCTCTTAACTCTCCAATCTGTTGGTCTATCAAATATCTAACTATGCCTTGAATAACTTCAATGATCAATTCCACAGATTAATGACCATCAGAGGGAAAATATCTTCTTAACTGTGACTTAAAAGGAAGAACTTCTTAACCTTAAACTGTGTTCTTTCGTTTTGGCTTCCCCCACAGGAGAAACATCCTTCTGGTATTCACCTATCTAATCCGCTCAGTATCTTCAATAATATCACCTCTCAAACTTCTAAACTTCAAAGGATATAGGGTTGGCCTCTTCCACTCTCTTCAACCCAGGAACAACTCCAGCCTGTCCAATCTCTCTTTATAACTGAAATTCTTCAGCCCAAGCAATGTCCTCTGCACTCTCTCCAGTGCTATTACATTCTCCGCCCTTCCAACATAATGTGGATCCCAGATCTGGACACAAAATTTTAACTGTGGTCTAACCAACACTTTACACTTTCCAGAATAATCTCCTGTATGCCTCAGCTAATAAAGTTGAATATACCATATACTTAATGACTATATCCACCTGTCATGAAGCTAAAGGGATCAATGTCCATGCACACAAGGTCCCTCTAATCTTTGATAGTAGGAACTGCAGATGCTGGAGAATCCGAGACAACAAGGTGCAGGGCTGGATGAACACAGCAGGCCAAGCAGCATC